GAAGTAGCAGGAACTCAATCCTGCCGCAAGCACAAATAGGTCAGTATACAACAACATACACCCCCCACAATACAACATACACCCCCACAACACAACATACACCCCACATACAACAACACCCCCCACAATACAACATACACCCCCCTACACAACATACACCCCCCCCCCCACACCACACACAACATACACAACCACAAACACAACATACACCACCACAAAACAACATACACCACCACAACACAACATACACCCCCCACAACACAACATACACCCCCCACAACACAACATACACCCCCCACAATACAACATACACCCCCCACAACACAACATACACCACCACAACACAACATACACCACCACAACACAACATACACCACCACAACACAACATACACAACCACAACACAACATACACCACCACAACACAACATACACCACCACAACACAACATACACCCCCCACAACACAACATACACCCCCCACAACACACCATACACCCCCACAACACAACATACACCCCCCACAACACAACATACACCCCCCACAACACAACATACACCCCCCACAACACAACATACACCCCCACAACACAACATACACCACCACAACACAACATACACCCCCCACAACACAACATACACCACCACAACACAACATACACCCCCCACAACACAACATACACCCCCACAACACAACATACACCCCCCCACACACACACAACATACACCCCCACAACACAACATACACCCCCACAACACAACATACACCCCCACAACACAACATACACCACCACAACACAACATACACCACCACAACACAACATACACCCCCCACAACACAACATACACCCCCCCAACACAACATACACCACCCACACCACACCACACAACATACACCCCCCACAACACAACATACACCCCCCACAACACAACATACACCCCCCCACAACACAACATACACCCCCACAACACACATACACCACCACAACACAACATACACCACCCACAACACAACATACACCCCCACAACACAACATACACCCCCACAACACAACATACACCACCACAACACAACATACACCCCCCACAACACAACATACACCCCCACAACACAACATACACCCCCACAACACAACATACACCCCCACAACACAACATACACCACCACAACACAACATACACCCCCCACAACACAACATACACCACAACACCATACAAACCACAACACTCCCGCCATACCAATGCAGTATTCATGAACAAGAGATTAATCGGAACTGTTAATTAAACTTTGGTTTAATACGTATGCAAATATTTACAATGTATACAGAGAAGCTGTATGAAGTAAGGGGAGTATACATGTAAGACGGGGAGAGGGGAGACAGGGAGAGGGGGAGACAGGGGAGGACACACGGAAGGTCGATGAATCACGGACTATGGACCACGGGCTATGGACCATGGGTTATGGACCATGGGTTATGGACCACGGGTTATGGACCACGGACTATGGACCACGGACTATGGACCACGGGCTATGGACCACGGGCTATGGACCACGAACTATGGACCACGAACTATGGACCACGAACTATGGACCACGAACTATGAACCACGAACTATGGACCACGAACTATGGACCACGGACTATGAACCACGAACTATGGACCACGGACTATGGACCACGAACTATGGACCCCACGAACTATGGACCACGAACTATGAACCACGAACTATGGACCACGAACTATGGACCACGGACTATGAACCACGAACTATGGACCACGGACTATGGACCACGAACTATGGACCACGAACTATGGACCACGAACTATGAACCACGAACTATGGACCACGAACTATGGACCACGGACTATGAACCACGAACTATGGACCACGAACTATGGACCACGAACTATGGACCACGAACTATGAACCACGAACTATGGACCACGAACTATGGACCACGGACTATGAACCACGAACTATGGACCACGGACTATGGACCACGAACTATGGACCACGAACTATGGACCACGGACTATGCGGGGCCACAGCCTCTCACCGAGTAATCAATACAGACTCCCCCAGTCCGTAATCAATACAGTAATCAATACAGACTCTTGCCAAGAGTACAGAAGAATATTAATACCCTGGAACACAGTGTTCCAGTGTCTGAAACACTGTGGACCCACTTCTCAATGTCAACAGTTCGTTCTATAGGCTGTGGTACACGTACCAAGGCCTCCTGACGGCGTACCTGCACAGGTGGTATTCTACAGGTGCAGTAATTACCTTCAAGATGCCCTCTGTAACGGTGGTTCATGATGTAACTACCGGGTAATCCGCCAGCCAGAGACAAGAGTCGTTCAGTTAGTACTGAACAGAGGTCAGCTTCGGCTATATTCGTTTATTTCTAGGAATTAGAGTAATTTAGTCAAAAGAGGTAATATGACATCTTGTAGAAGATTATATGTTGCTGTGGGAGAGAGAGAGGGGGAGTGAGAGAAAGGGAGGGTTAGGGAGAGAGAGAGAGAGAGAGGGGGAGAGAGAGAGAGGGACGAGGGGAGAGAGAGAGAAGAGAGAGAGAGAGAGAGAGAGAGAGAGAGAGAGAGAGAGAGAGAGAGAGAGAGAGAGAGAGAGAGAGAGAGAGAGAGAGAGAGAGAGAGAGAGAGAGAGAGAGAGAGAGAGAGAGAGAGAGGGGGGGGGAGGGTTAGGGAGGGAGAGAGGGAGAGGGAGAGCGAGGGAGGGAGAGCGTGAGAGAGGGAGAACACAGACACACACACGCCGGGAAGGTCAGCTTTAACCCAAGTGAACAGCCTGACTTAGTTCACTGGAACTCCCACACTGTCGCTCCCACCAGCCCCACCCAGCACCAGCCCCACCCAGCACCAGCCCCACCCAGCACGAGCCCCACCCAGCACGAGCCCCACCCAGCACCAGCCCCACCCAGCACCAGCCGCACCCAGCACCAGCCCCACCCAGCACGAGCCCCACCCGCCACCAGCCCCACCCGCCACCAGCCCCACCCACCACCAGCCCCACCCAGCACCAGCCCCACCCGCCACCAGCCCCACCCAGCACCAGCCCCACCCAGCACCAGCCCCACCCGACCCCACCCGCCACCCCAGCCCACCCCCACCCCCCCAGCACCACCCAGCACCAGCCCCACCCAGCACCAGCCCCACCAGCCCCACCCCCACCAGCCCCACCCGCCACCCCAGCCAGCACCAGCCCCACCGAGCACCCAGCACCAGCCCCACCACCACCCACCCCCCCCACCGAGCACCACCCACCACCACCCACCCCACCCACCCACCACCAGCCCCACCCAGCACCAGCCCCACCCAGCACCAGCCCCACCCACCACCAGCCCCACCCGCCACCAGCCCCACCCACCACCAGCACCAGCCCCACCAGCCCCACCCAGCACCAGCCCCACCCAGCACCATCCCCACCCACCACCACCCCCCACCCACCCACCAGCCCCACCCGACCCCCCCCACCCGCCACCAGCCCCACCCACCACCCACCCCCCACCAGCCCCACCCACCAGCCCCACCAGCCCCACCCGCCATCCCCACCCACCCCCCACCCAGCCCCACCCACCACCATCCCCACCCAGCCACCAGCCCCACCCATCACCATCCCCACCCACCCACGCCACCAGCCCCACCCACCCCCACCCAGCACCCCCACCCCCCCACCCACCACCCAGCCCCACCCGCCATCAGCCCCACCCAGCACCAGCCCCACCCGCACCAGCCCCACCCATCACCACCAGCCCCACCCAGCACCACCAGCCTCACCCACCACCACCACCCCCACCCACCACCACCTAGTCAGACCCAGCCAGCCCCGGCTAGACATAACCAAACCAAGCAAGACCTAGCCAAACAGGGTCAGATCAAGCCAGTTCCATTAGGCCACGTCTGATCAAACCAGATATAGCCAGACCAAACCACTCCACCCCCCCCCACCCTTGACGGGCCCCACCCCCACAGCCCCCCCGTCAAGGGTAATGGGGCCCCCGACACCCCCCCCCAAGGGTGTATGCAATCTCCCCCACCCCCCCACCCTTGACGGGGTGTCCCCACACCCCCGTCAAGGTAATAGGACCCCCCCCACCACCCTCCCCAATGGTGTTGTTGAGGGGGGGGGTGCACTTCAATGTACACTACCCCTTAAATTTTGCTTAACATCAATTCAGGCAGTTGTAACTAAGTTGTTCCAAGAAAGTTGCTTTATTATGCAAAAAAGTAAGCATGACCAATCATGTCTACAATGATGCAGACAAGGCATTATGCAACAGAGAACGGGAAAGGGGTCACACCCTCAACAGAAAACGGTATACGCTACATATTCTCCTAGAAAACTGAGAAATCACATCCAATTACAATAGAAAATGGGATACATGAGAATGGGAAAACATCTGGAAAGGAAAATGGTGTAAACATTAAAATACAAATGTCATCCCTGGGAAATAAGTCACATGCGCGTATTACAGAAAGAGAACGAGAACAGAAGCACAGTGACAGAAAACGGAAAGCGTCAGAAAACGGAAAGCGTCAGAAAACAGAAGCGTCAGAAAACGGAAAGCGTCAGAAAAAGGAAAGTCAGAAAACGGAATGTCAGAAAACGGAATGCGTCGGAAAAACGGAAAGCGTCAGAAAACGGAAAGTCAGAAAACGGAAAGCGTCAGAAAACGGAGTCAGAAAACGGAAACAGTCAGAAAAACGGAAAGCGTCAGAAAACAGAAGCGTCAGAAACGGAAAGTCAGAAAAACGGAAAGTCAGAAAAACGGAAAGCGTCAGAAAACGGAAACAGTCAGAAAAACAGAAAGCGTCAGAAAACGGAGTCAGAAAAACGGAAAGCGTCAAAAAAACGAAAAGCATCAGAAAATCTGTACGTCGTAAAGCGGGAAAAAAGTCAGAAAACGGGAGAACATTACCTCTAGCACCGAGAGAAAACGAGAAGTGGCAAGAATTAAAAAAAAGGGTTACAGTACCTTTTGTATCGGCGCTGTAGTCGTGCTGCCTGTAGCCGTACCCTCCGTACGCTGCAGGGAAACATGCACGTCAGTACACATGTTCGCTCATGTACAACCACTGACGTACATAATGCCTCCACCACACCTACATATATATGGCCGGGGCAGGATGTGGCAACAGTGTACATGGCGATGGGATGATGTGGCACCAGTGTACATTGGCGATGATATGGCAACACTGTAATAGGTGATGTGGCAACATTTGTAAATAATGACCTAATAAAGGGGTTAAATATAATGAAAGGCGGCCATTTTGTACAGAAATATGGTAATGTGTGCACATTGTATATTTATAATGTAACAAGAACTGTAAGCACATAGTTGGGTGGTTAAGTCACAAGCTCATGGTCCGGGGTTCGATTCCCGCGGCAGGACATAGCGGGAATTATCTGTGCCAGTGGTGACAGCTCTATTATTCCTTCTAATGGGCGGCACAGTAATGATAATGGGTCTTTAATGTTAAGTCAGGTGGCCCCCTTATTATACCCCCGGTACGCCTTGAGTCTCCTCCACCGGTACGCCTTGAGTCTCCTCCACCGGTACGCCTCGAGTCTCCTCCACCGGTACGCCTTGAGTCTCCTCCACCGGTACGCCTTGTCTCCTCCACCGGTATGCCTTGAGTCTCCTCCACCGGTACGCCTTGAGTCTCCTCCACCAGTACGCCTTGAGTCTCCTCCACCGGTATGCCTCGAGTCTCCTCCACCGGTACGCCTTGAGTCTCCTCCACCGGTACGCCTCGAGTCTCCTCCACCGGTACGCCTTGAGTCTCCTCCACCGGTACGCCTTGAGTCTCCTCCACCGGTACGCCTTGTCTCCTCCACCGGTACGCCTTGAGTCTCCTCCACCGGTACTCCTTGAGTCTCCTCCACCGGTACGCCTTGAGTCTCCTCCACCGGTACGCCTCGAGTCTCCTCCACCGGTACGCCTCGAGTCTCCTCCACCGGTACGCCTCGAGTCTCCTCCACCGGTACGCCTTGAGTCTCCTCCACCGGTACGCCTCGAGTCTCCTCCACCGGTACGCCTTGAGTCTCCTCCACCGGTACGCCTTGAGTCTCCTCCACCGGTACACTTGAGTCTCCTCCACCGGTACGCCTTGAGTCTCCTCCACCGGTACGCCTTGAGTCTTCTCCACCGGTACGCCTTGAGTCTCCTCCACCGGTACACTTGAGTCTCCTCCACCGGTACGCCTTGAGTCTCCTCCACCGGTACGCCTTGAGTCTTCTCCACCGGTACGCCTCGAGTCTCCTCCACCGGTACGCCTCGAGTCTCCTCCACCGGTACGCCTCGAGTCTCCTCCACCGGTACGCCTCGAGTCTCCTCCACCGGTACGCCTTGAGTCTCCTCCAAGTCCCCAAGTCCCCCACCAACATGGAGATCTTCAGGCCCATACAGCACGTATATTAATACATAGCTGGTTATACAACTGTCTCCTGCGTGTATGATGTATGATGGGATACAATAACATTCACCAATCATTTACACAAACACCTACGAAACCCATACATCCTTACACAATCATAGTGGCTTTATTTAAATTTAATAACCAGTTAACGAGCACCAAGCACTACGAGGTTGATGATAATAATAATAACATTGGGTTGTGAAGTTTGCAAGTTCGTAAACTGTGTAATACATGTAAACAAAGCCGCCATGATTGTTGGAAGATGTACAGGTTACGTAGATGGTTGAGTAAATGCTTGATGAATTTTGGCGGGTCAGGCGGGGATGTAAACAAGAGCTGGCCACCTCTAGCGTCTCCGTTGCTTAGCAACCAGCATATGGTGCGATGTTGCCGCTTTTCTAACCACCTGCCCTCACACCACAAGCAAGCCTGCCCCCCCTCCCCCCCACACCACGACCCAGAAGACAACAACAACAACAGCAGCAGGGCAGAAGAGCGACTGGTCTTACGGTACCACCGTCCAGTTAACGTGACTCTTCGCTCTCGTACACAAGTCTAAATTAACATACATCCTGGCAGTTGTCGTGCTCGAGGGGCCTTTGTCCTGTGTGTTCTCGCCTAGTTGTGCTCGTCGGGGGTTGAGCTCTGGCTCTTTGGGCCCGCCTCTCAACTCTCAAGCAATCAATTGTTTTTTTTGTTTGTTTTTCCCCCACACACATCCCCAGGAAGTAGCCTGTAGCAGCTGTCTAACTCCCAGGTACCTGTTTACTGCTAGGTGAACAGGTGCATTAGGGGTGAAAGAAACTCTGGCCATTTTTGTTTCATTCATCACCGGGGGATCGAACCCGGACCCTAGGATTACGAGTCCACAGCGCTGTCCACTCAGCTATCAGGCCACACACAAGGAATGTAACGTACATGTGTGTGTGTGTGTGTGTGTGTGTGTGTGTGTGTGTGTGTGTGTGTGTGTGTGTGTGTGTGTGTGTGTGTGTGTGTGTGTGTGTGTGTGTGTGTGTGTGTGTGTGTGTGTGTGTGTGTGTGTGTGTGTGTGTGTGTGTGTGTATGTGTGTGTGTGTGTATGTGTGTGTGTGTGTGTGTGTGTGTGTGTGTGTGTGTGTGTGTGTGTGTGTGTGTGTGTGTGTGTGTGTGTGTGTGTGTGTGTGTGTGTGTGTGTGTGTGTGTGTGTGTGTGTGTGTGTGTGTGTGTGTGTGTGTGTGTGTGTGTGTGTGTGTGTGTGTGTGTGTGTGTGTGTGTGTGTGTGTGTGTGTGTACACCACAAAGTAGAACACCATAACAAAGTAAAACAATAAAGTAGAAATAATTCGAGTAGCTACTGTAGCTACAAGGCCTGTACCAGACCGCTGGATACAGACCAGGTAGGCCCAGTGTAACATTTTGAATAATCGCTCAAAATCATGTGTGTGTTAACATTTCTCTTGTGTCCATTATAAAGAGAATATTTAATTCCAATCCGAATCCCAAAACCGTCCTCCCTAGACGCATTCATCAATTATAACACACTGCATATTCAAAATTGGTTAGTTTTCATATATAAATTAATATTATTATACATTAACAATCTCTAACATGGGTTTTTAATTCATAAACAGGGGGTTTGGCGGGTGCATGGAATCACTTTTGGGTCTTTGTTTGAAGGACGGGCTGTTTATAGAATTTTGGTTCGAACAGAAGACGTGAGCGAAGCACTTGTTCCGGAAGTGTTCGGACGTCATCAGTTGTGAGTCGTATGTAATTTTTAATTCATAAACAGGGGGGTTTGGCGGCATGATTAACGAGCTTGGATCTTTGTATGCGAGAACGAGCTGAATTACAATAACAGGGGTTTCGAAATGGAAGTGAGATCATTCAAACGAGATTTCGAACAGGAAGTGAGATCATTCAAACGAGGTTTCGAACTATCCATGATAAAACAAACTCTTAACGCATTAACCAATTATTTAATTAAGAGGGACTATAATTATGCAACATACAGTGGACCCCGGATAATTTACTGGGGCGCAAGGGACCCGGATAAAAGGAAGTAGGAATAATTAGGTCAGGCGGAAGGGTGTTGATAAGTGTGTGGGAGCCGATGTCTAACATGGGAAATTAGCCTTAATTGGTTCGCCGCTTACTGGATAATGGAACAGCATGGGAGAGGAAGGGACGGGGAGGGAATGAGGGAGAGAAGGGGAATTTATGAGGACAAGAATGAGAGGGAAATTACTGTGTAAAAGAGAAAGGGAAGGAACCAAGGCATCCAGAGAAAACTCGAGGGTGATGAAGGGGGACTAATGTAAAAATATGAGAGGGCCGCGGAGAATGAGATCCTGGAGGTGAAGCAGAAAGAGAAAGGAAACGCAAATACAAGGGAATCACAGCGAAGAGGGGAAGAGAGAGAGAGAGAGAGAGATACGGACAGACAGAGAAAGAAAGAGGCAGAGACAGAGAAAGAAAGAGACAGAGAGAGAAAGAAAGAGACAGAGACGTGTCGGGTACAGCCCACGACACATGCCGAGAGAACTGAGGATCTTGGAGGGCACGACGCATAAGAATGGCGGGTTAAAAATACATATATAATCATCTATACGACTGTGCGTCTGGCAGCGGGAAGTGGGTGTCCGGCGCTGCCAAGCTACACAACGACCTAAACTCTCGTACGCTTCTCGTTCTGGGAACGAAGCGAGAAAATTGGTAAAGTTGTCTAGGTTAACAAGAAGGACAGAGGAGTTAGGGGCGGCACGCTCTCTTTATTGACACGGAATGACATGCTTACGAGGCTCTGGAGGACGAGGACGAGGAGGACGAGGAGGGGGGGGGGAAGGAAATTAGAAGGGGAGGAATGGAAAGTAAGAATGAAAGGAAGATAAACATTTTGACAAAGTAAGTCCCGAAGGGTGTACAAAAGGTGACCAAAATGTTGATAATGTCTTGCCTCGGGGAGTTACGGGTCCCACAAGACTCAAGGGAGTGTGTTGTGAGTTCCCTTACAGCAGTGAGCGCCCCATGAGGTCTCGAGTGTCTTGTGTGGTTCACCATGAGGCCCTGGGTGTCCCATGTGGTCCTGAGTGTTTTATGTGGTCCACCATGAGGCCCTCAGAGCACCCTATGTGGTGGATAATAATAATAACATGGCGGTGTGCACTTTCCTCTCTCATTATCACCTAACTTCATTTTCAGTAAGAAAACAAAAATGACTCCAGCGTTCACACTCATCTTTCCAGCGGCGCTTCTGGAGCGTGTTGGGGTAATTCCTTCGTCAGGTTCCCTCTTCCTTCCTACCTCTTTCCCTCTCTCTCTCTCTCTCTTCCTCTCCCTTCCTTTCTCCCTCTCCCTTCCTTTCTCCCTCTCCCTCTCCCTCCCATGAAGCCGGGGAAGCCTTTCCGAGTTACGTTCGCACCTTTTACAAGATGTTCTGAAGCCTATTTCAACAATGCGTCGTAATATCACATATCCTCTCCCTAAGGGGCGCTCTGCAATTGCAAGACAAGATTCATTTCCTGGAAGACGGTCCTCAACACCTGGAAACTCGGCACAAGACTTTCAAGACAAAGATTACCAGCCTTTCCAGCATAGCCTTAAGCTCCTCCTTGCTAAAACAAAATCT